ACAATTACCTAGGCGCTGGTGGTTCAATTGGAAAATTGATGGTGCAAAAAAAGCTAGCTTTATGGTTTTGGACAGAGAAGACTCTCATTTGTTTGGTAGAGGAAAATCTACATCAATGCAAATGAACAAAAGGCAAAAAGAAGAATACAATTACATACCTGGGGTTGGTGATTGAAATACAAGGAGTCATAAACTAATTTTGAACGCAAGCAGAGGACAAGGAACGGCTGTATAGAGGAACACAGGTAAGCAAAGTAGCTAAAAGGAAAAAAAGAATTGACTCGGTCCGCTAATCAGGGACCAAGCTAGATATGGGTTTTGAGTTCAGCTGCGTTTGTGCTATTACAGGTGGGAAGGCAATATCGTCGCCGCCGATATTTATGTGCCGATGTCACTGCCGCCGCTGGGTGGTGCCCACTGTTTGTCGTTGTCGCCGTCGCCGCTCGGATGACCAGATGATGTTCGGGTGTTTTCCACCTTCACCCAGTCCGAAATTCTCCAGTTTTGGTGACTCGGTGGCGACTTCTCTAGGTTGGCCGACCCGCTGATGCACAATAGGTGGAAACCAGCCGAAAGTTTTTTTTTATGATTCTGCCACAATGGGCTAAAATCAAAGCTGCCCGAATAATTAATGTAACAGGTCAAATGGGCTTTTGTAATGTGCTTAACAGAAGGCTAAAGCAAGAGGCCAGAAACTGTCAACAGCGGCTTGATGTTTTTGGGCGGGAAGTGGGGAAAATTATGGAATAAAAGGACTAAATTACCCCTGGCGAAAATTAAGGAGAGAGCTGCATTTTTTAAATGGAGAAAAGCCTGTAAAACTCCGGCATTAATTATTCTCTAGATTAGAATGATTTATACCTTGATCCTTTAAAAAAAAATCAAAGATAAAAAAATATAAAATACAATTTTCTTCTCTCATAATTACCCACACTTGCTGAAACATCATATAAATAAAGTTAAACATTATGTGCAAATTAGTTTTATAGTGGAGTGAATACTCTTTGAGAGTTGGAGGCTCCGGTGTCGTTGCTCTTCAAAACACCCACACTTTCTACACGGACGCCGCCTGCATCCTGGCACTCTCGTCTTGGTCATCCCTCACATTCCTCTCTTCAAAATATTGTTCGGTCTTTTTCTCTTCCGGTTACTACTACCGTCACTAGCCATTCATGTGATGCTTGTCTTTCGAATAAGAGCCACAAGCTCCCGTTTGCTATTTCTTCATTGACTAGCAGTCGTCCATTTGATCTCTTGTATACAGATGTTTGGAACCCTGCTCCTGTTTCTTCTATTGATAGTTTTCGTTATTACTTGATCATTGTTGACCATTTCACCCGTTATACATGATATTATCCTCTGCGTAAGAAATCTTATGTGCTTGATGTCTTTCTCGCTTTTCACAAAATGGTTCAAAATTATTTTTCGACTACTATTCGTCGTTTGTATACTGATGGTGGTGGTGAATTCAAAAAATTACGTTCCTCTCTTACTAATCATGGTATTACTCACCTTCTCACTCCGCCTCATACCCCGGAGCATAATGGTCTTGCTGAACGAGAACATCGTCATCTCGTTGAAACCGGTATCACTCTTCTACATCATGCTCACCTTTCTCTCTCCTTTTGGTCATATGCTTTCTCTACGGCCATTTATATTATAAATCGTCTTCCTTCCTTTGCATTATGTGGTAAAATTCCCTATACTATTCTTTTCAATTTACCACCTAATTATAACAAACTTCGTGTGTTTGGTTGTTTGTGCTATACCTGGCTTCGTCCCTACTCTCTGACAAAACTTCACCCTCGTTCTTGCCCATGTCTTTTTCTTGGATATTGTCCTCAAAGGAGTGCTTACTGGTGTTATGATCCCCATACTCATCGTCTCTTTTTATCACGACATGTGCTTTTTGTTGAGACTTCCTTTCCAGGGCTTCCTATGACCACCTCATCTGTTTCTCCCACTGTTGCCTCATGGATATTGGACAATTCCCCCCCCCCCCCTCCCACTATCACCACACTGCTAGTGCGTCCATCCGACCCACCCACTGCGGCTGCTTCACCTGGCCCATCCTCGACCCACTCCCCCTCAGCGACTGCTTCCCCAAACAAAGGCCCATCCCTGGTTCGACTTCATCTACTTTGACCCGCTCACATGTATCGGCCTCATCTAATGATGGGTCTTACACTCCGGCCCCAAGTTCCTCTGCTGTTGGGCACCCTCCCATTGTCCGCCGCACTCACTTTATGACCACGCACACATAGGATGGTATTTTCAAACCTAAGAAATTATTTGCTAATGCTATTACTACTGCTACTCCTCCTCTACCACCTCGTTCCGCCAAAGAGGCTGTGCGCTATAAGGAATGGGATGATGCCTTAACTGCAGAACATCTGGCTCTTCTTCGCAACTTGACATGGGATTTGGTACCGCGCCTTCCCTATTATAATGTTCTTGATTGTCGCTGGATATTTCGTGTTAAGTTCCTCTCCTCTAGTCTCATTGAGCAGTTCAGGGCTCGCCTGGTTGCCAAAGGTTTTCATCAACGTCCTGGACTTGATTTTCATGATACGTTCAGTCCGGTGGTTAAATCGGTGACTATTCGGGCAATTTTCACTTCGGCTCTCTCTCATGATTTGTAACACCCTAGTCCGGTCGGACACTAATTTTACCAAAATACCCTTGATAAAGTGTGAATCAAAATTTGAACTAAAAAGACATGAAAAAAATAACGGAAACCTTTCATAAATAACTTTAATCATGTTAAAATAAACTAACATCTCTTAAAACAAAGCCCTAACATTTGGGCAAACCTCAAACACAAAACTCTTAATATGAATCTCCAGTCACTACTCATAATCGTAAAGCAATAACTAAAAATCTACTTTGTTGTCTGCTCGGATGCGATCTCTAGAACCTGCAATGACGCTTGTACTATTCTCCTCTACCTGGCTTGCCTCGAACGACTCTCTCGATCTCGTTGCTCTCTAACTGCTCCTCTTGCTAGCTGCTATCGATCTGGTTCTCGCTCATTCCTTTACTAAGGCCTAGTGAGTGAGATGGGGGGTCAGTCTACGCCCTTACGTTTTAAACTTTCTAATAATTTTTCACTTCTTCTCAAACTGGGGGAAGTTGTTTGTACTTCCACTCTTATAAAAATCTTAACTTAAATACTTGACTGACACGGGGATCTCTCACTAGCTAGTCCGGTTGCCCAACTCAAACATATGAGAAGCCATCCAGGCTTTCCTTAAACTTAAACTTAGTTAGGGGGGTCGTAACGATTCATCCCCTAACATCTTAAACTTATTGTGGTGGCTCTTCATCACGATTCTCAGGAGCATAACTGCTGCTCATCTTAAAATTCTCAAGAGCATAACTGTTGCTCTATCTCAAAATCTCAAATGGCAACGGACTGGCGTAGTGACTAAAAACACTTAAACAATTCCACCTTCGTTGAAGGTGAAGTACTTCTTCAAAAGGAACTTGTTTATTAAACTTTAACTATCACTCATAAATGTAAAGTTTTAAAGTAAATGAGAACACATGCATATTCACTTCAATCAAAGCTCAAATAATTCACAATCACCAATCATAAGCACAATCAAACCATGACAATCACTTCATCAAAATACTTAAAGCTCGTAATACTAGGGAAAAAAAACACGTAAAGCGTAGAATTTACCCCCTTTACACTCACCTCAAAGCCGTCGAAACCGTCTCTGTTTCTGATCCAAAATTCCATAAATTGATTCCATTAAATTCTCCTCGCCTCCATGATCACGTAGGCGCCGACGGTTCCTCATTTGGACGTCAAACGAACAAGATAGGACCAAAATACGAATTCTGTTAGATTCCAAAATACTAGGTACCAAATCTGAACTTCTCCTAGTCAACCTATTGACCCCGACCCTTCTGGAAAATTACGTACTCAATGCTTTTAGTTTTTGAATTACCAAGAATGGTATATGAACTTGACCATTTTGCCATACCCACGACTTGGATCTTCCCGTCGTCGGTCAAGTCATATTCGTCGGCGTTATTTGCCGGCGACACCTTCCACGACTCTTCAGATTCCGTCGCAGGGAGGACCCGCTCCTGTAGCTCGACAACGACGCTCCTCGTCACAATGCCATCCTTCGCCGCCTTGACCGTTCTAGCAGACACGTCAAGCAGCCACCTCTCGTGTAGGGAGGGCCTTCCCGGGTGTGTTATCCGCCGGAGTCTGCTCCCCCACATTGCTTCCGGAAGGGCCTCCTCAAGCTTAGGGGAAGCAGGCATGAGACCTGCCCACGGAGAGAGTATTGCCGGTAGGTGTTGGTTAGGGTCGCCTACCTCACTCGACTCCAGGTTGCTTCGACCCCAGCTTGCTAAGCAGGCTGGTCACATAGCAGAGGGGAGCCTCAACCAGGAAAGAACAATTGCAGGGGAGATAGGGGCGGTGCTAGGGTTTAATTGAGAAGGCCGAGTGCGGATGGTTTGACTACGGAGGCCGACTAGTGAATGGGATTTAGGGTTTTATTTGTTCGATGGGTATTTTAGGCGCTTCATAAATTACGGGCGAGTTTAATCCACAACTCAACTAACGTCCGTAACTAACTCGATTTGTGTCGAAACTCATCACCGTTTGAACAGAAATTTCACATTTTTAATCATCGTCGATATTACGATGGAATTTCACAAATTTCCCCAAGGGTATAATAGTCATTTTGACTTTTAGCAAGATCGGGGTGTCACATGATTGGCCGATTCTGCAATTTGATGTCAACAATGCCTTTCTTCAAGGCCCATTGGAGGAAGAAGTATATATGACTCAGCCCCCAGGTTTCGTTGATCCATCCAAACCTCGTCATGTTTTTCGTCTTCGTCGCGCCATTTATGGTCTTCGCCAGGCTCCTCAAGCGTGGTATACGACTCTCACTGAGTTCCTTGAAGCATATGGGTTTCGGAAAACTCACTCTGATGCTTCTCTCTTTGTCTACTCTCGGCAACAGGTTCTTATGTACTTTATGGTCTACGTTGATGATCTCTTACTTACTGGTAATGATTCTATGGCCCTGGCTGCTTTTCAAGAAGCGCTCTCTGATCGGTTTTCCCTCAAGTCCCTTAGCTCGGTTCATTATTTCTTGGGTATTGAAGTCATTCCCACTCCCACTGGCTACATTTTGTCTCAACAAAAATACATGGAGGATGTGCTTCATCGCTTCTCCATGAACGATGCTAATCCAGCTACCACTCCTTTGGCGTCTTCGGTCTCGCTTTCTCTTCACGATGGGAGCTCTCCCACTGATGCTACTCGGTATCGCCAGGTGTTGTGCGCTCTTCAGTACTTGACTTATACTCGTCCCGACATTGCCTTCGATGTCAATAAACTCTCCCAGTTTATGCATGCGCCTTCCTCCAATCATTGGCAAAGTGTTAAACGATTACTGCGTTATGTCTCTGGGACGCTCTCTCATGGTCTAGCTGTTTGTCACTCTTCTGCAGGGACGAAGTCTGCTTCTATCTAGGGGGGCCATGGCCCCCCTTAACTTAAAAATACTAGCGGAACTGAAGAGTTACAACAAAGAATGGACGTAGTGTAGTTGTTTGACATGTTTACGTTAGGAGGGAGGATTAGGGTTTGATCCCATCATATGTCTATTTTGCTTATGATCTGCCCTCCCCCACAAGCCACAACCTCTCCCAATGATTTTCTTTTCAATTTCGTAACTATTTACCCTGTATGTTTTTAACTTTATTTTCATGTTAATATTTAAAATAGTTAAATATGTCTTAAAACACCTCTATTTTCATGTTTATTTGCTTAAGATCGGCTCTCCCCCACAGGCTACAGGCCACAACCTCTTCCAATGATTTTCTTTTCAATTTCGTAACTATTTACCCTGTATGATTTTAACGTTATTTTCATGTTAATATTTAAAATAGTTAAATCTAGTCTTAAAACACCTTTATTTTCATGTTAATATTTAAAATAGTTAATTCTAGTCTTAAAACACCTTCTCAATGCATCCTTCTAGTTTGATTTGTCTTGATATTTGGAGTTGGCATTTGGCCACTATGTGAACATGATAATCTTTGTGATATTAGTAATTTCAATTATCTTTTGAACAAAAATGGTCATTTTAACTTATTTTATTTCGAAATACATGTCATGATTTTCATAGTATTGACATAAGTTTAAATGGTTTTTACATAAAAAGATTGAGGATAATTTTGGATGTTATATTTTTAAGTATTTTCTTTGCAGGAAAATTTTTTTGACCCCCCTCCCCTAATTGAAAATCCTGGCTCCGTCCCTGCTCTTATGGCTCTCTTGCGTTGTCCGCCTTCTCTGACTCGGATTGGGCTGGCGACTTAGATAACCATTCTTCTACATCACCCTACTTGGTTTATCTTGGCGACACTCTTATAACCTGCCGTTCACAGAAACAACGCACCATTGCCCGCTCCAGTACGGACGCTGAGTATCGTGCTATTGCTCATGCTACCGCTGAACTTGAGTGGATTCGCAATCTGTTGATTGAGCTTCATCAACCACTTTCTGTTCCACCTATCCTCTACTCCGACAATCTTGGTGCTACATCTTTGAGCTCCAATCCGGTGTTCCATTCTCGTATGAAACACTTTGCGTTGGATTATCATTTTGTCCGTCAATTGGTTCAAGCTCAACGACTCCGCGTTGCCTATGTTCTTATTTCTCACCAACTGGCTTATATGCTCACCAAGCCTTTGCCCGCGACTCGCTTTCTTCTACTTCAGTCCAAGATCGGTGTAGTTGATACTACGTCCGTCTTGCGGGGGCGTATTAGAGATAGTAAATAAATGTAATTTTATTTTTTATTTTATTTTCTCTCCCAATTCCATTCTGTTCCTTTCTTTATGGAACGTGGAGTCCCTTTTCTGTTTGTCTACTTGTATATAGTTCAGAAACCTAATTAAGGAATACAAATTACGTCAGATTCATTCTCTTCAAACCTTATACCTAATATCTCTATCACCATGCTCACACAACCCCATAGTCGATTCTCCACACCGCATAGTACATGTATTGATGGATGTGAGTAATTTTATTCTTCATCCACAATATAGAGAGTGATTTAAAAATTCCCAAATTTGCATAAAACCACCTCGCTGTTCACCCGAGTGACATATAATAATATAATAATGATCAACTCAACATAGATGCTCTGTCATATTAATTGGTCTTTATGGTTAAGATAGGATCAATCACCATCATCAAATTATTAATTACCAACTACCCCCATTACAATTATTATAAGGAAAAAAAAAAAACTCATTACAAACGATGGGGACCAGAACCTCTCAGCTTTTGTCTGACAGAACTCTTCCCCACTTGTTCTCTCTCAGTATTTAATTTTTCTGCTGGAAAATGTTTGATGTCTTTTTAGAAATTCTCCAGCAAGCAGCATCAATCCGGCCCGCCGCATGATACACCTTTCCTACACCCGCTCGCATCCGACCAAAAACATGGAAGAAACTTCCTCACTGGAGTTTTCCTGCTTTCTTATGTTCTTGTTATCGGATGGGCATTGATCATGGGTCCCACCCACGAGCACAGCAACAGAGATCAAGCGCGGGCAAATGGCAATGGCTTGTCACGACCCGAAAATCGGACGATCAGATGCGTCCAAAACGCAATTTTCGTGATTGTTTGTTAATCTAACGGTTTGGTAATTGGCACCCTCACCCGCCGGGCCAATTTATGTAACGTCACTGAACTTTGGGATTATTAATAAACTGGTACCTAACTTTTGACTTTTGATCGACAAGTAATTATTTTGAAGGGTGAAAAATAAATTTTTTTTGTTGGATTTGAAAATGAGAATTTTGATCAAATTTTAAGCTTTAAAATCTTAAATTTGTGATGAAGTTGGTCCATTATGAATTTTAGAAAATTTGTTGGATTTTGTTGTTATGCATTTCTAGTTTTTAATTTGAAATTGCATTAACTTAAAACATTTTTATTTTTAGAGGGGTATAAATGTAATAGACCATCATAGATTTTGGAACGTCTCTCAAATCCCACACTTACAGGTGAGATTACTATGTCATACGGTCCACAAAATTGGCCCTCCAAATTCATAGGCTCCACAGATTTGATCAAAAAATTGCGAACAAAATATATATTTTTCTACGTTCACGATAAATTGAATTTAGGTATGCAACCATTCTACACTATAATATATTCATATCACAATGATTGAATCTTATGTATTACCAAGCATTACCATCCTAGTATAAATTATTTATATATGTCTTTTTTTTCAATATATAAAAATCGATTATTGATTAATATTTTGAAAAACCATATGTTAATCGTCAATTCTCGATTAAGGAGATCTCCTCTCGATTTTTTGTGGTCGTATTAGAAATCAACGGACACGAGCACCAGGAGCACAGAAATTAACTACACCCAAACTACACACAATAATATTCTCCTCCCTCTAAAGTCTAACCGTCTGTACTCTGTGCACCTTCTCCACGTAGGCCTAGCTATCTCGGTTTCTGGCCTCTTCGTTTTCCTGTTTTCACCAGAACCAACATCAATAACACTTCCTTCTCTTCTCTCTTTCTTCTATTTCAAACTTATATACCATACCAGCCCTCCCTCCCACCGCCATAGCATATACCTCGAAAACGCGGGAAGAATCCTGATATCCCCCTGACTCCCGTTCCGCCATTTTTGCCTTCTGAACCTCTCTCATCCTCACAAAACCAAAACAATTCGGGAATATTCTCCTTGGACAAATTGACTTGCACGTTAAGCGATTCCCCCTCTCCCGTTTCAATTCCTTTCAACCTCCGTCTTCCGGTCAGGCAGGCGGAGCTTCTGTCTCGTTTTATTTCCGCTTTGCTTGTCGCCGGCAACAGTCATTCGGCGGGGTTTCCCCCCCTCATTCCGTGGTCAATTCGAACTCTTGTTTTTCCTCCCCCCTTCCAAATTCGCTTTGGTTTCGTGTTTTTGACAATGTTCGTTGCTGGGTGATCTCTTCGGCCGGTCCATTCGCCATCTCCCGCGCTCTGCTGCTATTTCTCATGCCCGCTTGCTTCTGGTATGAAGTTCGCAGGCGATTGTTTCTTTTCCTCTCCTACATCTCTTCCACTTGTGTGGAATTCTTCTTCAGCTGCTCAACAAGGTGCGTTTTCTCCTCTCCAGCTTTTGCAAGTAGCATTATACTCTTATTGCCATCTCGTCGATTGAATGGGCTTATGGTGATTGTGAATGGCGCTTTTGTGTTTGAAGCAGCAGAGCCTTGTGTTGACTTTGGAGGTGATTTGAGTTTGAATTGGGAGCTTGATGGGGAAAGCTGACAATGGGAGATGTGTTTTCCCTTTATCTAGTCTGCAAATCGGGTTAGTATATATGAGCTTTGTCTCCATTCCTCCGATATCTGCAATTGAGAAGTAGGGCACTGTTACATCCCATATGCATGTATGAATCTAGCGGAACTGGGCATTGGGCAATCGCAATTGAGAAATTTTGCTTATAGCTTGAGTGTTGGGATTGCTCCTTCTAAGAGGTTCTGACTCTTAGTATGATCTGCACAAATTGGTATTCTAGGCTTTGAGGCATGCCTAAGATGCTCTTCTGTATTGGTTATTTTATTCGATTCCTGAATTGTTCTGTCCTTTTCTGATTGCAGAGACTTGCAGTCGTATCTTTCAGATCTTAGTCTGTATGTGGCTTTCGAAAGTAAGAAGCTATACGTCTTGGTGGACAACCGGCCATGGTTGAAGAGTCTGGGTTCGCGGCCAGCACACTTGTGGCAGTTAATGGTTACAAAGGTGATGAGTTATAGTTACTAGAGATATTCAGAACACTGTACCTGTTTTTAAGTCCTTGATGGTTCCAGTTATTGATATGGGTTTAAGTTCATTGCAGTCGAGGTTATCTCCATTTGCAAACAGCAAAGCACAAAGAGGGAAAAGGGAGTGCAAGGGAACTTCTCGTCCTCAGTCTGATTCCAACAAGGCAAAGAATATGGAGAAATGGTTCTCACTGATCGATGCAAAAAACTTCTCTCAGAAGGCAGGTTTGTTGCCAGTGGAGAAGTTGAGGAAGTCATTATTCTTGAGCAGTGAGCTGCACAGAACACTCTATGGTTTTATAGTGTTTGAAGTTGCTTGGAGCAACGTTCGAGGTATTAACTATTTGAATGAACTTCAGGTACGAGGCGTTGAATCCCACGATCTTCAGTTTGTATTTTACAGTGAAGTTTGTCTGTTTGGTCAATAATTTTTATGTGTACGCAGACAGACACATCTCTGGCAGTTGAGGCGAAAGTTATGCAAAGATGGGAATTTGATTGTATATCTCAAGCATCAAGATCTATATCTTCTTGGTTTTCTGGAACATTGCCCGAGCAGTTACAATTGAAGGAGTACCTGGATTCTGTTACAGGTTACTGCAGCCCTCTCTTGAATTCTGATTTATTGTTTTATCCTTTTTTTTATTAGTTTGTATCACATTGCTTCTGATCAAGGCGTAGCGAGCTGACCCCATATTGTTTAAAGACTGTATTACCTTATATACTTTCTCTAATGTCACAGTAGATCCATTAAGCTTACTGCAATGCTGGAATGTTGACTTATATTGGAAGTTGAAACTGATGTTATGTCGATATGTTCGGATGTTCTCCAGGAGATATTTTCTATGATGCAAAGCAAAAATTTTCAAGAACAGGTTCTTTCAATGATGATGATGAAGAGACCATTGGAGGTAATCTGGGCACTGGGAATTTCCCATCCACTAGTCTCAGTGATTCTGAGGATATTAAAGATGACTCTGAGCCCCACACACCTCCACCCAGTGGGCCCTACAAGAGAAGAAGGGTAACTAAGTCGATTGCCACAGGAGTCGAAGTTGATTTTTATTCTGAAACACAGGGCAGAAGCAAAGATTTGTTGCACAACTCGGAGGCTGATTGCAGCAGCAGCAATTGTGTAAACGGTAGTCTTGAAGCTAAGGAGTACAAGGACGTACTAATTCTGATGAGGTTCGATGACCATGACCTCCCTTCCAAGCTGAGGCAAATCGTAATGGCTGACCTTAGGTTATTGACCCTCTTAGAGGCAGGGCTTCCATCATGGGTAATCTTTCTCCAATCATATCCTGGGTTTTGCCATCTTTATCGCCCGTGGATGTGTCCACTAGCTAGAGCTTTATACGTCTCCATCTCGATTGTCACTGTTATGATAGGCTTCTACGATCTTTACAAAAATGTCCCTGTTCTCAAGGCGACTGCATCTCGATTATGTGGGCCACTTTTTGACTGGATAGAGACTTGGGAAATGGTCTCCAGGATCAAGTATCTGGGGACCATGCTGTTTCTTCACAATTTCCAGAAGGCTGTAACCTGGTCCTTAATGATCACTCGAACTTTCCGGTCTTTCCTCTCCGTTTTCACCCAACCTCTGGTTGGCCCGTTGGTGGAATTAGTAGGATTTCTCCTTCCATTGTGGAATGAAGTCATTGAAGTAGTTGAGCGGTTATTCTCAGTAGTCTGGCTTGTGGTGGGAACCACTTGCAATGTGGTTGGAGATGTTCTGGAGTTTTTCCTGTGGCCTATATGGTTTGTCCTCTCTTTTGTATGGAACTTCGGTACGTTCTGCCTTTCTCGTTTCTTGGTAGCTTTTCACTGCTGTTTGGCCAATGTCTTGTGTCTAACTTTTTAAAATAATTTTCTGCTGCAGCGACTTCAATCTTATATCCCATCTTCTGGATTCTGTGGGAAGTCATCTATACCCCAGTTCGCATGGTTTTTGCACTATCAGGCTTCCTGGGTGGAATTTTAGGCTTGATGGTGCAGTTGGTTGTAGATGTTTGGCGATCTATGAGTAGCATAGTGCAGCTTGCTTCAGCTTCCGAGGCGTCAGTGAACACGTACCAAGTTTCCATGTGGAGATCACTTTGGAGCGACCTTTTTTCACAGGTCTTTCGTGCCGTCAGAAGTATTTTGAATGGTTTTGTGGCTTTCTTCACAGCATGCAACAAACATCGCCTCAGGTAGCTCTTTTCTTTTCTTTTTTGTTCGTATCCAGTGAACACTGCACACTTTTCGCGAGCCTAACACTTCGCTGAGCTCGCAATTTTGCGTTGGACCAAAGCATATACAACCATCTACAAGATTTCATCAGGAGAGTACTCGGTGGTGCTCAAAGATTTCAGACTTTTGATTCCCGGCCCAGATGGAAGTCATTCGAGCCGCGGAATCTGGTGAGTTTTGATTGTGGAAGCAATGCTGCTCTTTTAACCGATGCTCTTTGACTCCGTGTAAACGTTTTCTGATCAATCCGTTGTTTTCTTTATCGCAGTCTGATTCATTCGGGGAATGCAAACAGAGCAGCTCGCCTCGTCGAATGCCAACCCCGCGTATTTCCAAGTCGAAGATGCAGAGGTGAGCCAAGTTCTCTATAACTAACAGGAAATAGGAAACTTTTGTAGCTTGTTTCTGTAGGAGAAAGAAACAAAGAGAGTAGTTTCTTATTTGTTTCTCTGCAACACCGTGAGGAAGTATCTTTCATTATTTCCTTGTCTCTCTTCGCAGCTAGTATCTCTTGTTTGTTTCTGAACAGTTCCGCGGTAGTCACTCGTAGGTGTTGTATCTTCCTTGTAAATAGCATGTGTATTCTGGGTATAGTAAAAAAATGTACAAAAAGGAAAATTGCCACTGTTAACCAACAGATTTCGTTAGAGTAATTTAGGGTTTGAGACAAATTGGGGAAAATCATAAATGAAAGAGAAGGAAGGAAGGGAGAGATGATGTTCTCTAACCTAACCTGTTTGGATGGATAAAAAACTCAGAAATTGGAATTCGATTTCCAATTCTATATTATTATTTCATGTTTGGAATGATAAGAAGGTTGAGAAATGAATTTCATTTGACCAAAATATTGGAAATTAGAATTCTTATAACTTTTGATAGGAATTGGGTTTATGGAGATGGAATTAGTGGGACCTATTAATATTTATTATTATTTTATAATTCCACTATCTTATTCTTCTCTTTCTCTCTCATCAGCATTTTATTTCTCAAGATAAAAAATACTAAATTAATGATTGTTAAAGAGTACAATTTATTTTCATAGTTGTTGGAATTATGCCAAACACAAATGTTGGAAATGGAATTCCGAATGGAAATCCATTTTCATTTCTTATGGAATTGTATCCAAACAGGTTTATAAGGGTTACAATTGGGCCCAAGAACTTATAAGGCCCGCAAGTAAAATGAATGGAAATAAAAGAAGAGTTTGGGCCGCTTCAGTTTAGCCCACAGTATTTTACCCTCGTCTTCTCCCCTAGAAAGAAGACAGTGTCGAACTGCTGCTGAGAGCTGGAACAGGGGAAGCTGATGGAACAGAGAAAAATAATGAAAGACAGAATAGAGAAGAACACATGTGATGTTTCCAATCTACTGGCCAGTCCTCGTCCTAGATTCAACACTCTACTGATGTCTAGGAGACTATTTTTATTTAATTTTTCCTATCAAGCAAATGAAGCAAAAAGATGTAGACTCAAGAGCAACACTGGATTAGCCCACTTTGTAAGTAGCTTTATATCGCTGTTACAAAAGTTGCCGAGAACTTCTTTTTTGAAAACTATTTATAGCCTTGGCCATCCTGCCGTTGTATTCAAAAGTCGCCCAATTAAGGAAAGCTGAAAATCTTGGCTGATCTCTTTTGATTGATTGAGAAACAATTTGCAATGCAAGTTTCCATATTTCAACAATCACACCTGAAACTGAAATTGTAGATTGCTAAGTGTCCCTACAAAACAAATACCTTTCTATGCCGAGAAGATAGCCAACCATTCACAATAAAGCAACCAGGATACTTAGCAATCAACACACATGAAATGTCCTAGTCAGGCAAACCAATCCAAGAGCAAAGTTTAAGCAACATTTAGCAATTAAAACAGAACACAAAGCAACAAAGAAAAGCAAAGGTTCTAGCTCCGCATTAGGGCCACCATCAGAGTCATCAGAATCCTCAGAATCACTACTGATAATGTGAACAACAGACACATCGTTCTCCCCCTCAATTGCAATTTGCATGATGTCCATGACATCATCAGCTGAGAGAGAAACATAGTTGGTGTGGTGGTACGAAAGAGATTGAGTTTAAGATCAAGACGACGCAACAACTGAGTGATCAATGAACCAAAAGGTAGGGAGACCGCGAGGGAAACATCAACAAAGGGGAAGAATGACCCGTAGAAGAGAGGAGAATAATCCAAAGGGATATCGTGAACAACATGAGCAAGAATCCAGACATCTAGTTGAGAGAGAAAATGGAGGTTTCATGTCCCGGGCAGAAATACTCGAGTGAGAAAAAAGTGAAAAACCTGGAGGACGGGAAGCAGAGTATGGACAGGCATCAACTGATCTGGTTCAGGAAATTGACTAGTGATGGTGTGTAACTCATCCGAGACTTCGAAACCAAGGAGACCCAACTCCGATTCATCAACAAGATTCTCACAAACTTAAGGGATGTTTAGAAGAAGACCAATCTGATGCACCGGGATAGTCATCATATGACAAAAAAAAAAGTGATGAAGGATTAGAGAGATTTTGATGTAAGGAAAGACCATTTGTAGAAGGATTAGAGAGAAGAACAAACACGGGTTGGATGCGAGACAGAGAGACAGGGAAAGATGTTTTAAATAGACACAACGAGGAAACCCTAAACAACTAAACAGGAAGTAATGAACAAAGGAAAGAGCAACAGACGAGGAAAGAAGATCAAATAACATAGAATCTGGCGATCAAAAGGAAAGCAATAAATGACAAAGAACACACAAAAAAAGAAAAACAAATCAAAAGAAAACGTAAGAAAAAAAACAAAGAAGGTAAGCTTAAGGGTCAGGGATCTCTATTATCTCCGAAAGGGAGGACACAGATCGAAGACTAAGCTCATAACAGAGGAAAGTGAATCGTTCTGCGGATATGGGTTTGGTAAACAAGTCAGCCAGTTGAAACTCAGTAGAAATATGACGCAAATGAATCGTACCAGCTTGAACTAATTCCCGTATGAAATGATATTTAATATCTATATGTTTAGTACGAGAATGTTGAACCGGATTTTTGGTCATGCAGATAGCACTTGTGTTATCACATAAAAGAGGAATGGTAGAAACGCTAAGCCCATAATCACGAAGTTGACTCTTTAACCAAAGAAGCCGAGTGCAAGAACTACCAGCAGCAATGTATTCTGCCTCAGCAGTAGAAAGTGTGACAGCTTCTTGTTTTTTGCAAAACCAAGATACTAAAGAAGTACCAGCAAACTGGCAATGCCCTGTGGTGCTTTATCTATCCGTTAAGCTGCGAGCAAAGTCAGAATCAGTATACAAGTAGATCAAACTGATCTTGTTTGGCATACCAAAGTCCAACATCTATGGTCCCTTTTAAGTATCGAAAAATGCGTTTAACGGCGGTGAAGTGTCTTTGTTTATGCTGAGATTGAAAATGAGCACAAAGACAGACTGCATACTGAATGTCTGGCCTACTTGCTGTAAGATACAGTAAGGATCCGATCAAGCCTCGATATTTGGACTCATCAACTGGGATACCAGCTTCGTCCTTGTCAAGTTTAATATCGCCATAAGCGTAGGAAAAATGTCATGCTAGACACATACTTAGATGGGTTAATCAAAGTGCCAAGGGAAGTCTGCTTGATTTGCAGTCCGAGAAAATACTTCAGCTCACCCATTAAGCTCATTTCAAAAATAGACTTCATGGACTTACAGAAAGCAGAACAGAGAGCAATATTTGTGGACCCAAAAACAATGTCATCGACATACATTTGAACAATCAGGAAAATCAGTCAAAGTACCTTTGATAAAGAGCGTTTTATCTACAGATCCTTGAGAAAATTTTGATCGCGAAAAAAGAGGTTAAACGATCATACCAAGCCTGGGGAGCCTGTTTAAGACTGCAGAGGGCTTTGTTCAGTTTAAATAGGTGATCGGGATATCTATGATCAAGCCTGGCGTCTGTTCAACATAGACATCTTTCTCAATGACACCATTTAAAAAAGCACTCTTGACATCCATTTGAAACAAAGGAAACCCATGAAAGAAGCAAAGGCTCAAAGAAGACGAATGGACTCGATACGTGCAACAGGTGCAAACGTTTCGTCATAGTCAATGCTTTCTTCTTGGGAATAGCCTTGAGAAACTAAACGAGCTTTGTTTCTAATAATAATTATGAGCTCATCAGACTTATTTCGAAAGACCCACTTAGTACCTACGACACTCGTATTTAATGGACGAGGAACCAAATCCCAAACATGTAAATGAGCAAACTGAGTAAGCTCTTCAATCATAGCAAGACACCATTCCTCGTCAGCCAATGCTTCCTTATAGTTCTTAGGTTCTACTTGCGAAACATAAGCATACTGACCTAAATATATTTACCTCGTGTGCGCAGACCATCATTGTGAGCACCAATAACTTGGTCAGCTGGATGCCTCTTTTGAATGTGAGGCGGAGTTGTAATTTTAGCGGAAGGTGGCTCAAGAGGAGGATTAGGAATATCAATATCATCTGTAGCGATCGATTCACTAGCCAAGACTTCCTGTAGATGCACAGAATATGCATCTTTAAAAGTAACATAACTACCAAGAATTTACAGATAAGTCAAATACCAAAGGAGATGAAACTGGTTCAGGAGAGGAAGTAGTGTCATTAAAAATCACACGAACAAACTCTTCAACTTTTTGAGTCCTCTTATTTAAAACTCGAAACGCTTGCCAAAAAGATAGCCAAATCATATTTAGGATCAAATTTACCAAGATTATCGCGAGTAATTAAGCACATAGTAGGGACATCCAAAATGATGAAAATAAGAAATATTTGGCGTCTTGTTTTTGAAGAGCTCATAAGGAGCTTTGTTAAGAGACTTACGAATAAGCACACGATTTATCACATGACAAGCAGTACTAACTGCCTCTGCCCAACAATATTTAGGTATATTGTATTCAAGTAGCAAAGTGCGAGCACACTCAATGAGAGTGCGATTGTTTACGCTCTACAACCCCGTTTTGCTAAGGAGTGCGAAGTGCGGAGAAAATGTGAGAGATCCTAGTGTTATTGCAGAAAATTTCAAAATCTTCCACAATACTCACCCCCATTGTCACTTTTGACAGATTTGATTTTACCCGTAAACAAGGAACAAAAGGTTTTAAATTTAGCAAAGTTTCATCCTTATGAGCCAAAAAAATAAACCCAAGTATTTCTAGAGTAGTCATCAACCAAAACAAACACATAATGTTTTCCTCCTAAGCTGGTGACATTACAAGGCCCAAAAAGATCCACATGGATCAGTTCGAACATGGCAGTAGTGGTAATATCAGGCTTAGACTTAAATGTTTTCTCGTGTGTTTGCCGGAGACATAGGTCTCACAAAAGAAATTTGCTTTATCTTTTATGACAGGAATTCCTCGTACAAGGTTCAACTTGGACAGAATAGCCCGTTTTGGCAAACCGATATGTCCGAGTTTCCTATGCCATAGGAGTTATTGTAGGAAAGAGACTACAAAGAAGTATTCATTGAAAGCATCCAAGTTGTGTAAACCCAAGTATTTCTAGAGTAGTCATCAACCAAAACAAACACATAATGTTTTCCTCCTAAGCTGGTGACATTACAAGGCCCAAAAAGATCCACATGGATCAGTTCGAACATGGCAGTAGTGGTAATATCAGGCTTAGACTTAAATGTTTTCTCGTGTGTTTGCCGGAGACATAGGTCTCACAAAAGAAATTTGCTTTATCTTTTATGACAGGAATTCCTCGTACAAGGTTCAACTTGGACAGAATAGCCCGTTTTGGCAAACCGATATGTCCGAGTTTCCTATGCCATAGGAGTTATTGTAGGAAAGAGACTACAAAGCAGTATTCATTGAAAGCATCCAAGTTGTGTAGATCAATGATATGCATATTATTGCCGAGTAGCAACAAAAACAATCTGACTGTCTGAAAAACGTTCAACAAGACAGCGAGAGGCCTAAAAAATGACCCTATGAACATTTCCACACAGTTGGCTAATGGAAAGTAAGTTATGTTTGAGACCATCTACAAGTATTACGTCATGAATCATAGGTAACGGCTTGTTACCAATGGTTCCTGTTCCGATAATGGTTCCAGAACTGTCATCACCAAACACCACTTTACCTCGACATTTTAAGGACAGGGTTGAGAAAAGAGCACGCTTACCAGACATATTATGCGAGCAACCGCTATCAAGATACCATAAAGAGTCTTCGTTAGCACAAATAGACGAAAAATTGTCAGATGACAACTGAGGCTGAGTACTCCCTGATTCAAACGCCATATATGCTATCTCTTCCCCATGATTATCATCAGCATCAGGCTCGTAATCACTCCATGATGCTTTCATCGCTTGTTCCTTAGCTTTGAGAGTTTGCGGACAATTGGCCCGAACGTTGCCATATTTACCACACTTATAACATGCCTGACCTTCCCGTTCAGATTGACCAGTTTCTAACACTCTGGTCTGCTGATAAGGCAACCTTTCTTGAGACACATTATTAAAACTTCATTAGCAATAAACCTGGATTCATCAGCCCTACGTTTCTGATCATTTTTATTACGAAGCATACGATGTAATGTTTTACTAACCAAAGCAAACTCTTTATCAAAATCATGT